GGCATCCCCATCAGCCCCCACTGTGAAGAATCCGCAGCACCGCAAAGATGTGTAAGGAAGATTTCAATTTGCTGCTGGCTGGGCCAATGTAAACCCCCTGTTGGCCCCCATGTAATCTCCCTAAATTACATATTGCTCATGAGTGCTTTTGTGTGAATGGATTATTTTAGCAGAGAGCATGCACTGAAAGAAACCGGAAAGATAGCTATTTTTTCCCTCCCTTGGAAAGGAGTAAGACACATCTTTAAATGAGAGGAAACAAGAGATTATAGGGTGGAGGGCCTCCAGAGCAAAGACGAGTCTTTGTGTGTTTCTTTAGGAGGAGGAAGGGGTAAGGAGGAGAAAAGAAAGCCAACGCAAGATGAAGAAAGGGAAAATTAATCACAACTGTGTTCTCCCAGCCTGTCTGTCTGTCTCAAGCTATCTGTCTGGGTGGACCGCATAGGGAGGGAACAGTCCACGTGCAACATCAAAGAGAAAGGATAATACTTCCCGTTGCTCTGACCTGAACCCAAGCATCCTGGCCCCTTAGTACAGAACTGATATAAATGGTTTTATTGATTCAGGGGAGAAATCCCTAACAGGGAATTTTGCTAGAAAACCAAGTGATATTAAGATACGTCTATGTGGGATGAGTGCACAGCCCAATAGTGGAGCATTTGTCTTGCACCCTTAAGTCATTGGATTCAATCTCCAGCACTGTAAAAAAAAATAAGATATGTTGACACTGTGAGGATGAAGTGACAATACTGAGGTTGCCTGTCTCCTGGGCTAGTAGCCAGATGTTTCTTCCAGCAGCCACACTGACTGCAACATTCCATGCTGACTGGCATCTGGCCATTCCTAACTTTCCTTCTATTCACATATGTTTTAGACCTCACGTCTTTATTGGACATGACAGCTAGCCACCATCAGATCAAGCCTGTCTAATTTCACCACTAATGATGCATACCATATACATCACAACGGAACACACACGTGCATGCATGCATACTATTCGTACCACTTGACTCCCATTTCTGTGAAACATCTAGAAATTTTACTTGTACTTGCTCAAAGTAAAACAAAGACGGATTTGAGAACACCAGAAGTTGGGATGAAATCCCCCCCACCCCCCCTGGCATGATGCCATTTCTTGAGGGGGAAATTTCAGAATATATATGGGGACCTTGCTTTTCTAACCTTGGAGATGTTGGAGGAGTCTACATCCAAGGATGTGATGGACTATCAGTGTGCAGAGCATGCCACTCAATGGAGATAAAAATCTCACCTAGGGTGTCTGTGATCCTGTCTGAGGCACCCTAACCAGATGGTCAAAGCACTTCACCAGCAGTCTCCTGTCTCAGCTTAGCTTTTCATATGTGATGGCTCTATCCTCATTATTGCTGCAGCTCCAGGGACAGATATCCATCCCTACTAAAATGAGAAGACAAATGGACTCTGTTGCTTAGCATTGGCTCAGGAGAGCCCACTTGCAAATCCTGCAAGGTAGAAGGGTACAGGCCGGGCTTCCCAGCCAGAGGCCATGATCAGCCTTACCAAATTTAGAGGCACTGAGAGGAATAGAGGAGGCTTCTAGAAGAACCCTCACCATGATAGAGCTAAGAGTTGAGTAGAATGGGCTGGGGGAAATAACACACATCCGCTTGTGGACAACTCCGGGTCTTCTCTTGGGTTATTTTACATGCCCAGGTCCTCTCATAGACCAGAGATTTTACACACTTGGTTCCCTGGTATCAGATGCCTTTTCTTTGACATGTTCTTTGTGCTTTGCGAAGTCCTACGTATATTTTAAGAACCACGTATCACCTCTCTGTGAAGCTTCCCAGTTACGTGCCTCTACAAAAACCCCTTCCTCTGTGCACTCGTAGCCTTTTGTGCTTATATACACAGAAGGAATTGAACTAATTAGCACACATAAGAGGCTGCGTAATCCACATCCTTTTGGAAATGGGAAGCACATGATGTCAGATGAAACAAGATCCGACAACAGAGAATCAGTTCTATTTACTGAGTGTACACAACGTGAGAGGTCTCCAAGCAGAACCTCTGGTGAGTGTTGGTTGAGAATAATATGTTTGAAGATCCCTGTCTCTTGAAGCTTATCTGTTTCAACCACTTCCTTACTCGGATCAGGAAACTGAGGCTGAAGTGGGTTTCTTTCCAGCTCTGACAGTAAATGGTCTGAGCCACCAAAAGGAAGGACAGATTGACCCAATTCTTGGCTGAGAAACCACAGCTATGCAGCTTAAACTTCCTGTTTTAAAAGCTATGGCAGGAAAAAGTTGTGGTCTGTATTGCCATGACTCAAAACTCTCTCTCCCTCTCCCTTTCTTCTCTCTCTCCATCTCCTTCTCCCCTCTCTCTGCCCCCTCTGCTTCTCTCTACCCTTCACTCTCCTCCTTCCCTCTTCCCCACACCCCTTCCCGGACCCCCAGCATCAGAACTGTGATTCACACTCTTTGCTCTGCATTGCTCTTGTGCCCACAAAAGTGTGCCATTTGTGGCTCACTGCTGAGTGAAGGGACATAATAAATCTTGCTGGGAATCCAAAACATGCAAACAGACTGTCATGGGAACTATGGGGACTTAAAGCAAAGGGATAAAAGTGACTCTTTGTGACAAATATCCTTCTATTTTTATGACAGTATCTACACAGACATTCTCTCCGGAGCAGGTCAGAATTGTCCAGGAACAGCAGAACTGCATGAACCCTGTGGTATTCAAAATGGAAACTGAAGACTCTTTTGGACTGTCGCCAGGTAATACTCAAGCCCAAACATGTAGGGATGGCCCCCAAAGTTATTGTGTGAAAATCCACAAGCCCCTCCTTTCTACTGTGTCAGTCATGTGTGGATTCTGCCCTGCCTCCACATTTAGGTTCTTATAGGCTCAGCCACACTCATCACCCTCCCCTCTGCTCCCCGGTACTACAGCATGTATCCGTGCCTTTTTCAGAGATACCACCTTGGTAGTGCCTGCACCCACACTGTAGCATTTAGACCTTTATTAACTGTGCCAGACCATCCCTGTGTGGATGAATGGATAGCGGGCTTTGCCCCAGGTGTGAGCTGAACGTGACTTAGCATACACTGTTGTGAGTGTGTCTAACAACTCCCAACTGAACTGAACTGGTGGATACTGTGAAGAGGAAAGAAAGCTGACATGGCAAGAAGTGCCAGGGAGTGGATGGAGAGACAACACTGTCGTGTCTGGGGAAATACACTCTTAGAAGTTGATGTGGAGACATGAGTAATAGGAGGTAACCTCTGGGAACATCTGGGGATTGTGTACTCAAATAGGAGAAAGAAGGAATCTTCTTGACTTGCGAGAGAAATTGATATGAAGAGGCACTTTGGAAAGAGGATATGCTGTTCTTCCAGGTAGCACAAGAGAGGAAGGGAAGTCTTCTCCTGACCCCAACTCACAGAGGGCAGTGATTTCCAGATTAACAGTTTTCCAGTTATGTGAGTTACATGGAACACTCAAATATTTCTAATCTCTGTGTATGTTATTTTTGTGTATATTCATATATATATATTGATTATGTGCTCATGTGAGTCATAGTGTGTGTGTGTGTGTGTGTGTGTGTGTGTGTGTGTGTGTGTGTGTATGCAAATAGAGGCCTGAGGTCAATACTGGGTGGGTGGCTTCCTCTATCACTCTTCACCTTATATTTTGAGCCAGGGTCTCTCATTTAACAAGGCTTCTAGGCCTGTGAGCTTCAGAAACCTTTCTGTCTCTGCCTTACCAGTGCTGAGATGACAGACACCTGTCATCACCATGTCTGGCTTTTCACCTGGCTGCCAGAGATCTGAACTCAGGTCCTCACACTGACAGGACAACCCATTTACCGACTGAGCCTCCCTGGCTTAGTTTTTACCACTACCACTAACAGCCCCGTCTGCTCCACAGAGCTCTTGGATAGGTTACATACAAAAATAAGTTATCAACAACAAGACTGTGCAAAATGAATTAGTATGTTATTTGTTTGAGAAACATATTGAATTAATGAAATTCCTTAGTCCTGACAAGCTTTTCTTGCAAAACAACAAAACCAAAACTCCACATAAATTCATCAGTGATGAAAATTGAAAGAGGAACTCAAATTTTATCTACTCCCCAACCCAGAAAATTCTACAATAACAGTCACCTAAGAAAGCCCTGTGTCAAGGGCCCCTATCTTCCCAGTTCATTTGCTGATGGCTACAGGTTCATTATTTCCTAACTGTCTTTTCTAATGACTCTTGATTTGCTACAGTCACAATTTTTATCCAGAAGGTGGCTTATTGTCTCAAACTCAGATTTTAATGGTATGAAAAAAAAATCATTAAAAAATTATGTGAGAGAGTCTACAGTTTGCTGACTTGATTCAGGGAATGGTAAATTGCTGCTGAGAGCTAGGAATGTGGTTTTTTAAAAAAACATTTTTAAATGGTTGATAAAAAGTCTAGGGAGTAATAGCATTCTGGGACAGAGGCACATTGTAAGACATTCAAGTTTCAGTGGCCATAAGTAAAGCCCCATTGTAACCTATACTCACTTTCTCTTTCTTTTTCTCTTTCTGGAAGCCATTGAAGGCTTACAGGCTTCAAGGGCTGGAATTGTGGTTTTGAGAGCTAGCCATGACCTTCAGAGCCTAAAAGTCTAAAATACGAAATTGCTGGTCCCTCCCAGGAAGACTTTGGTCAATCTCATTTCATTCCTATATTTAGCCTACACATTGGTCATGGGATCACTTCTAGGCTGGTGATAGTGAGTTAAGTAAACCTGGTCCCTGACCCCAAGAAAATAGCATCCATTACATACAAAAACAAGTAGCCAAGTTATCACAAGACCACGTTCTGCCTGGGAAGACAGAGAGGGAGAAGGAGTTCTGAGGGTTGAGCCTCTAGCTCTGGCAAGCTGAGGTCGACCAGTTGGCTGGTAGTTGTATTAGTTACATATCGTTGCTGTGATAAAATCCCTGAGGAAACCATCCTCAAGGAGAAGGATCTTACTTTGTCTCATGGGTTGAAGTTCTGGTCAGTCCATTGTGGTAGGGGAGGAGTGGCGACAACAGCAGCTCTTGACTCTGGTGACAGAAGCAGGAGTTGCTAGTCACATTATATCCACAGCTGGAAAAAAGAGGGAGATCAAAATTGGTATTCAGGCCACCTTCTCCTTTATATTCAGTCCAAGACTCCGCAGGGACAGTGCAACCCACCCTCAGGGTAAGGCTTCCTTCCTCAGTTAAACCTCTCTGGAAACATCCTCACAGATGTGACCAGAAGTGTGTCTCCTAAGTGACTCCACATCATTCAAGTTAACAAAGGAGAATAACCACCACAGTGGTTCAGCTGCCACTCTTCTGCACATACACACCTTTTCCTACCTTGTACTCCTTGTACACCCATCCTAGGGTCTTGATGATGCTGTAGAGCAGAGGTAGCATGTATGACACATAGCTTATGGAAAAATATCACCTTCTTACAGATCTGAGGCCTTATTTTGAACCTTGGATATGTCTCTCTGTGACTGGCTACCACTATCTGTGAAGCTCTTCAGAAGATGCCTGAAGGTGGCCCAACACCTGTTTCTACATAGCTACAACTGCTCATTTGCATGTACTCATCCTTTGCACTTGTGGTACCTAGAAGATTGGTCCTCTAAGCATCTTCTGCCTCTCCTCCAGTGCTTCTCTATAAGCATTTCCAATGAGGCTGTCATCTTTAGATGATGTACCCCAGAGAGCAGATGTTCAGATATTTCTCTGCTTGTCATGCTATAAAAAAGTATTCTGAGCTTCTGACATCGGACAGAAACCAGGAAGAGGGTGATGAGGTAGCCATTACCGATGTGTGATATGAAAGGACGCCCATAACACAACAAGCTAGATGAATACATTTTACTGTAATACTTAGAAAATCAAAACCAGTACAAAATTTAAACCAAAAGGAAAACCTGTCTGGGAGGAACCTTGTGTTTGAGGACCAAGTTAAGAAGTAGAAGACAAAGAAAAGCCTTCTTCTATAAACAGTTAATTCAAGAAACCTACATGTAGTGAGAACATTCTTGAACCTGGATCCATGTGGAGTTTTGGAAGGAGCATGTCAATGTGAGCAAGATAGAGGGTTCTGCTTTAAGTTGCCTTGCCATGTATATCGTTAGAAATCACCCCTTTCCCCAGGGCTTCAGTTTCCTCTCTCTAAATGAAAGAAGATGGGGCAAATGATATCATGGGTTTATCCTTGATATGTGACTGCTTTGTATACATACCTTTGTACGGAGAATTCCACTTGGAACCGTGCAGCAAACACACACAACGGAGGTGGGTCCTGCTGCTACAGTCAGCCAAGGTGTGACACCAGACATTGCACAACCCTCTTTAATGCAATGCTCTTGTTTTGGGGTTTGGGGGCGTGGTTGGGAACTGCCTGCAAGCCATTTTAGTCATTGGGACATGAGCTCATCATTTCCAGACAAGCAGCTCCTGAAACCATTTAGTCTGCCTTGACTGTGAGGTGTTGGAGAAGAGGCTGGCTGTGGAGTAGCTGTGGGGTTGACAGATGTTTCCCAATGGGAGCCTCCACTCTGCTTGCACCATCCTGTTGCAGTCTGAAACCCATGCCCTGCATCCAGCTGGCATGCCCTAGCCCATGCAAACAAATGCGTTTAAAGACAGACTGCTTGTTTTATGGCTGGTGTATGTTGAAACAGGACTCCCTGGCTTCCCATGAGGCCTAAAGGCACAGTCTGAAGTTGTCATCACAGATAAGGCTATTTCAAGGGGCAAACACAGACAACCCGTATCTGTTTATATGACCTAAGGGCGTTGCATTTGCTACACCAAAAACGACATTTGCAGACCTGCTGTCTGCTCCTGAATTTAAGTTCCTCAAAGGTGGCAAATGAATGTAATTCCTTCCTGCACTCATATGTGTCATACATTACAGGAACAAAACATAGCTGGAGCTCTGGATAGTTGAAATTAATCTGAGGTCGTGCAGATAATAAGAATATTTTCTTAGTGGAAGAAAATGAAACAGGGTAAAATGCATCTTGCTTTTTAGTTTTAAGTGCTAAACTTCTGAACAAATAAATACTAGGCTATCACCTGGTCCTAGGTAGGGCATTCCAAGTGAATGTGGGTGTAACTTCTGAAAAATTTAAAACTATAGAAGCAGGACATTTTTGTCTTTTCTTTTTTTTTTAACCTTTGCAGTAAAAATACATGGATTTCTACAAAGAAACAAATGTCTAGGCAGAACCAAATGAGCAAAGGAGAGTCTTCATGCAAGTCCTATACATCGACGACCCTAAGCAAAGGACAAATGCTCCTCAGTATTCTCACCCAACAAATCAGAAAGAGTTGTGTTTCATTCTACAATTCCATAACCGCATGTTGGTAAAAATTTAGTAGGAAGTGGCTGAGAGGGCCTGAGATACATGGTTCATTTTCGAAATAAGAATCTGAGAAGGGAGCAGATGAGTAATATGTCTAAATGCATGCCACATTCTTATCCTTAATGGCCCTTCCTGTCATAGCTTTCTTTCAGTCCCAAATAGAAGCAAGTGAGAGGCCAGATGACCTGCTGAGGCTTGCTGCATGACCCGGAGGTGAAAGGGATGGCATTTTCCTTAGAAACAATTAAGGAGTTTCCCAAACAAGCAACCCACTAAATTACGCAACCCATATTTCTCTTCCAATCTTCCCATTCTGGTTTCAGTGATTCATAATTTTAGAATCACCTTTTCCTAGTACTCCCTAAGGGATGATAGCATTAACTTTGGAATAGTAAACTGCTGTGGTTTGGATCTCGAATGTTCCCCAAAGGCCAGGTGTTAATGTCTTGGTCCCTGGCCTCTGAAGCTATTGGGAGGTGGGAGCCTCAGAAGGTGGAGGTTAATGGAAGTTAGGCTATTGGGTATGTGTCTTTGAAAGGGATACAGGGACCTACTCATTCTTGCCTTACTCTTGGCTTCCAAGCTGACATGAGGAAAGAAAATTGGTTTCCTGTGGGATCCTGCCATGATGTGCTACTTTGCTTCAGATTTGAAACAGCAGAGCCAGTGGGTTGACACTGGACAAAGACTTCAACACTGTGAGAGAAAAACAAACAAACAAGAACCAAAAAAAAATACCTTTCCTACCTTCACCAGTTCACTTTGAGAATGATTGGCAGCTGGATCCAACCATGTCAAAGCAATCTCAACCTAAAGAGTTTCCTTCCTCTTGTCCTTCCCTTCCCCTGCCCTTCCATCCCCCCTCTCCTCTCCCTTCTCTTCTCTTCCCTTTCTTTCCCACCTTCCTCCTTCCCTCCTTTGCTTCCTCCCTCATAATTTTAGAATCACCTTTCCTCCTTCCCTCCTTTGTTTCCTCCCTCCCTCCCTCCCTCCCTCCCTCCCTCCCTCCCTCCCTTCCTTCCTCCTTTGTATAGCATATGCATCAATTAGATGGATGAACTCTACACTGTTTCAGTTCATAGAGTTCCCTTGGGACTAGAAACGATTTGCATATTAGCTTACAATATGACTGATTCATGGATGAACTTTGTGTTTCCTATAGGATGTACACTCCAAAGGATGAATTCTTAATGAAGAATGGTAGTTCCATGAAGAACACTAAGCGCATAGACTCTCCCCACTGTCCTTTTCCTGGCTAGATGTGAAGCCATTGCTCTGCCTATATCCTCAGATAAGTGTGATTGATCCTTTCCCCATTGATGACCCAGGAAGGCAAGGAAATGAAGAGCAGGCCTTTGGCACCCAGGCATGCTTAGAAACATACATGGAATTGGATGTCTCATGTTGTGATTTGGTTCAGTTGAACAGACTTCACTGTGAAAGATTATCAGCAAACCCAGTCCCCTTCTTCTATAGATTTATAGTGGTTTGCTTATTCATAACCCTCCCCGTTCTGAAAAGGCAAGGCCCAGTGTTGAAGACATTCACCTCGTACTTGGAGGCATCTTGTCCCAACGCCTACAGCCTCCTATGGCTGGCTTTCTCTGCATCCCACTTTAAACAAAGTGCAGGTCTTGACTGGTACCCACAATGCCTCTGCTCCTGCTTTCTTCCTCTCCAGTCTATCTTGCTTTCTGTGCATTGAACTCACAGCTCTGCTCCTGTCCTGGGAGTCCTCAGGCTTCCTACAGTGTACATCCTCTGATCTCATGTTGGCTCCCTCACCCTGAACACTGTGTAGCTCGCTCCGTCATTGCTGTGGGATGTTCTGTATGTCAAGTGTGTTGCTGATTGGTCAATACATAAATCACTGATTGGCCAGTGGCCAGGCAGGAAGTTTAGGTGGGACAAGGAGATGAATAAAGCTGGGAAGTGGAAGGCTGAGTCAGAGACACTGCCAGCTGCCACGATGACAAACAGCATGTGAAGATGCCGGTAAGCCACGAGCCACGTGGCAAGGTATAGATTTATAGAAATGGATTAATTTGAGCTGTAAGAACAGTTAACAAGAAGCCTGCCACGGCCATACAGTTTGTAAGCAATATAAGTCTCTGTGTTTACTTGGTTGGGTCTGAGCGGCTGTGGGACTGGCAGGTGAGAGAGATTTGCCCTGACTGTGGGCCAGGCAGGAAAACTCTAGCTACACATCATAGCCTTTTCCTCAACACTCCAGTGACTATTCTCACCTACTTGTCTCATACCCCTAGTGCCACAAGTCTCTCATTAACTCTGCACTATTTTCCTTACATGCCACCACCCGCTGTAATGTATTTATATCAGCTTATTCTTTTTCCCCCATCACAAGAATAAAATCATCTTGGGAGCAGGGCTGTTTGCTCTCTCCACAGCCTTATCTTTAGCCCCCGGAACTCTCCTGATAGAGTAGTTTCTCAATTGTTTTAAATAGATGACTTTGATGTCAAGGCTTAAAGAGGAGTCATCAAGTGGAGAATATCAGTAGAGTTGGAGGAATCAGTCCATCTTCCTCAAATCCCACCTCTCCAAGTCCCAGGTCTGAAGTCCCAGACCGCCATTCTTCCTAAGAAGCACATATCAGGTCAAGCCTCCACTGCCTGTCAGAAAGAGTGACCTCTACTTGAATAAAGAAGACTTGTGTTTAAAATAACTAGGGTCACAGCCTTCCCTGGACCTTCTTCCTTCCTGTAAGGCC